ATTTAAACATGTTGAGTCATAATTTCTTTACCACTTACATACTCTCTCCGTCCCAAAATATTAGTCCCTCTTCAAAAATCAAGTACAAAAATAATATAAATTTCCTATTTTACCCTTCTTTTAAATTAATAAACAACATAAAAAGTACAATTATGCATTGATATTCTCAAAAAATGTACTATCAAAAGGATAATTTTGGAAAATCAACTTTTTTCAAATGCAATAATTGTACTACCAAAAAAAGTTGGATTCCCCAAAATGGACCATTATTTTGGGACGGAGGGAGTAATTTTTAATTGTTTTTTTTTTGTTTTTTATCAACCCTTCCACCTATACCCACACCTCTCTGTTTCTGTCAGTGAGCACATGGATTTGGAAGAGTGGGTGGATAATAAAAAATAAAAGAAGAGTGAGTGGATAATAAAAAATCAAAGCTGTATGTTTAAATAAAGGAAGAGTGGGTGGATAATAAAAAAAAATAAAAAGAAAGGGCGCATGATGGGTATGTGAAGTAGATAATAAAATAAAAGTGGGTTTAAAGAAAGTGAGGGATGTGGGCGGTGGATGAACAAAATAAATAAATAAAGAAATGAAAAGAAAAAAAATAAATAAAGAAAGAAAGCAAGTGTTGAGTGTGTTGAGATGTTTTTATGTTATTTTATTTGGTTCACCGCCTCTGCGGTGTGTGTCCCCTCCATGTGCTGTGTCTCCTCCTTTCATCATACTACCCGCTCTCTCTCTCTCTCTCTATCATCGACTCAGCCAAGTCTCAGACGGCATTAATGGCTTTGCCAAATCAGCAGACTGTTGATTATCCCAGTTTCAAGCTTGTAATTGTTGGTGATGGTGGAACAGCACATGAATTGTGGGTATGGACCTTCTGTTGGTATCTCAGCCGGAGATGAATTGTGGGCGGCTCGTTACATCCTAAGGCACAAAGAACATATTGCGGCTTATGGTGAAGGCAATGAGCGTCGTCTCACTGGTCGACATGAGACCGCCGACATCAACACCTTCTTATGGGGAGTTGCAAACCGTGGTGCATCGATTAGCCGGAAAAGGGTATTTTGAGGACAGGAGGCCTGCTTCGAATATGGATCCATATGTGGTTACTTCCATGATTGCAGAGACCACTCTGCTGTGGATGGGCAGACCGTGCGAGCTCGCTGATCGAGCGCAAGGAGCAGATCCACGTCTAGCGGTCGTCTATTGGAGGAAACAGTAGTGGAGTTTCAAGAACAATAGTTAAAGACAGGTTGAAGACGTTCAATATCCAGTTTGAGGAGCTTCATCAAAGACAGTCGCAATGGACAGTTCTGGACACTGAGTTGCGTGATAGCTCATAGGATGATTGAAGCCTTTATCAAGGAAAGGAACTTGAAGGTAAGTGTAGAGAATTTTAGCAGACTAGGTTGAGGTCCGGCGGGCGGCCAAGGCGAGGTTGCCGCCCGCCGGTGAAGCGAAAAATACTAGTTCTTAACCTTGCTCTGATACCATGTTACAATAATGTATAGAGAGGTAGAATAGATTGTTGTGTTTCTGTATTGTATGTAATAATTACAAAGAGAAGGAACTCTCTCTTTATAGAGAGAAGAATGGAACATTGGATACCAAACAAAGACCCACTATCACCGAAAGCAAAAAAAGGAATAAAGCTAAAGCTATACAATTTATATACTAAAGCTAAAGCTATTCAATTAACAATTATAACAATTATATTAACATGAGTTATGCTAGACATAGCATTTGCCTTTCAAAATTTCACGTCCGCAACAATCGATTCCCACGATACGTACCTACCGATACTACTAATATCGGTACTCCGCAATTGATACTGTTACGTTACCCGATACCTCGGTTTAGAACCATGCTTGACACTATAGTTGACAAGCTTTAACTCAAATTAAATTTTTTTTTTCTTCAAGCTTTGAGCTAACCATTATTGATTTGTGTTGCTTTTCTGCTTCAGGGTATGTTTTGCCTTCGCATTGAATGGAGTTTGAATTTATGCATGGGCTTTCCTATCTAGCCTTTGTTTCAGTTCTAGTTATAAAAGGTGGGGATTGCATGGGTAAGAAAGTGAAAGTGCAGCTGAGGGAAGTTAGTTGCTTGACATGCCAACTCAATGAACACAGCTGCTATTGTGCATTTTCCATGAAATAACTGCATCATTTGGGGTTCATTATGATAAAGTGAAAGAGTTGACATCTAAACAAATAAAAATAAAAAGTGTTATCTGGAAAAAATAAAATAAAAATGAAAAATGCATAAACACAAGCAGATTTTAGTATGATTCAAGCTGGTCAATGGTAATTGGCTTTGGTTCAAGCAATACCACGATGGAAGTTCCCAGCAATCTGTAAGTGCTAATGCAATCCTGCAAGTCGTCATCGCAAGCTATTAAAATCATGTGATCTTCCTCATCTTTATACTTGACATAATAACTTCCAGTTTCTACGTTCAGCCTCTTAGCTATTTGTTGTTGCAACTCAACCAGTCCTGATGTACAGCTGAAACTTATTGTAATATCATTAATATATTTTGCCCTCATGGTCACAATATTTGCATCTTTGATTGCTGTATTATTTGGGTTTGCGTGATCAACAGTAGCTGAGGCTTGATTGAAAGGCAAATCACAGCTTAATTGTGATATTTGTTGATGATCAACTCAATAAAAGGAGTACTTTTTTTGGGTATTTTACAAGGCATTTTGTATAACAATCTTGGAGTTGCTCTTAAGAGTTGAAATGCACAATATCTGTTATTTAAAATGCATAGTACAATTTATTTGTTTAAACTCCAATGCATTAGGTCTATAATTAGACCTTTTTCATTAGCTAAATGAAACTAACCTTCAAAGGCTAAGCAAAATATTTTTGACCCTTGTGATTTTTATTTTTTTTTCCCTCTATCTTTGTTACTGATGTGACATTCCTTAAAGTGAGTAATATTTTGATGAAAAATTAAAATAAAAAACACGGTTACAATGCAAACATAAAAAAGGTAGATAGGTAAAAAAAAAGTATATACATTATAATAACTTTTAGATAGATAAAATACCTAATGTTATTGAAGATAATCTAACATAGTGACATTTCACATTTAAACCAAATTTAGGGTTTGCTTTATGGTTCATTTTATGATTCTCATCTATTGAGAAAAAAATAAGTACAATGACAAAGATAATAATACTTCCAGTGACATCCACAGGGCCATGTAAAATCATTCAGCATATAGGGAAATTGCAACCATATGTACCCTATTATAAATTTGCATAATATTATCACAAAAATTCATAATATCAATTATAAAGTATCTCTCGTCATAAATTAACGTAACAAAATGTTTAAAATTTAGTGATTCATGTGACAAAAGTTTGTGATTCATGTTTCGTCAATTTGTGACTAAATTACACATTTTGTGGTTGATGTTACAAAATTTTGTGATAAAATTATGTTAATTTGTGATAAAATTATGTTACCCAACCTTGGAGGGGTGTGTATCATAAAATTTCCCACACATATATATATATATATATATATATATATATTGTAATACAAGATCCTATAATTAATATACAACAATACTATAAACTCATAAAAAAATTACATAAAACACTAAATCAATAGATTACATTTATTGTGAGTGTGATCTATATTCCATTAATTATTCCATTAATTAGATTATATTTTCATAATGCATAACATATTTTTTTTTGTTAACAGTGGTATTCTATTCAAGTTCTGAACATTTATTTTTGAGTAAGAGGCGTTGGATTTTTTTATTAATAGTTTGTAATATTAAATGTTATTTTTAATTTGAATTATGTTTTTTTTTTTTAATTGAAAAGATGTTTTTACAAGCTCTAACTCTAATTTAATTTTTGGATAGAGGTTTTTTTAAATAATTACACTGACCTCCTTTTTAGTAAAATTAAAGAGACCAAAATTAATGCAGATGGTATAAAGACAAAAAGATATACAAGGTGAAATATATATTTTAATGTAAGAGAGATGAAAACAATATTTTTCATTTATATGACTAGTGAATTTCTTATGAAAAAAGAGGTAAGAGTGATATGAAATAAAACCATAAAGGAGTCCAATATAATTATACCAAACTTGTAGGATTTACTATATTTTCTCCAAAACTTAGGAGAGATTAGTGTAATTTGTTAGGATTTAAACTGCGTGTTCAATTCCTAAACCCTATGAATCACAAAAAAAAATAAATAGACAGAACATACAGATATACAAAATTCGCCAACATGCCTATGTTTTTAAGAGCCACACGAGTTAAGGATCCTCTAGAGTGATTTTTTCCTAAAGTTTCCTAGAGTGCTACATTGTGTGGTTGAGATTTACTGGCAAATCACATCAATTTTTCTGATGTGACTTACCAGTAAATCTCAACCACACAATATAACACTCTAGGAAACTTTAGGAAAATTTCACTCTAGAGGATCCTTAGTGCACTATATTGAGCATAGAATTACAAACATTCTTCTCCTCCCTCACACTACAAAACGGCAGCAATATCTCTTTTCTTACTAACCACAAAATATATAAACACTGTTACATTATATAATGTAAAAGTCTATGGGGCGAAAATAGCCAAACAGGCTTGGAAAAAATTCTGTTGCAGGGACCCACCCCCAAGCTTGGGCTTTCTATTGAAGGTTGTCTGCATACCCAACATAATTTACCCTAAATTTTTTTACAAGCTTTGGTATCAACCATAATTGATTTAAATTGTTTTTGTGCTTCACGGTATGTTTTGCCTTTGCATTTAATTGAGTTTGAATTTTTATGGGGCTTTTGTATCCTGCCTTTCATTTCTGTCCTAGCTATAAAAGGTGAAAATGTTGATGATGGAGTCAATTGCTTGACATGCCAACTCAATGAACACTACTGCTATTGTGTATTTTCCATATAAACAGGAAATAACTGCATCATTTGAGGTTCATTCTGATGAAGTGAAGGATTTTTTTTTTTTTTTTTGATCAGCAAAGAAAGTAACATTTTATTAATGCTAATACAACATTACAAAAGGGGAGAATGAAAAAGTTGGCCAGAATCCAATTGCCAAGAGGAAACCCAAAAAACCCAAAACACTCCCAACCTTGCTGAAACAGAGAAAACAAGGCATGATAGCAACAACCATCTCTAGAATCAAAAGATTAGAACAAAAGAAAATATAGCAGCAACAAAAAAACTGAGATAATTCAAGTTGGTCACTAATAATTGACTACTTTGGAACAATGAATACCATGATGGTAGTGCTGCCCAGCGATTTAGAACTGCTTATATAATCTTGCAAGTCCTGATCACAAACTATTGCAATTAAGTCGTCATCCTCATCTTTATACTTGACATAATAAGTTCCATCCTCTAAGTGCAGTCTATTGGCGATTTGTTGCTGCAACTCAACTAGTCCCAATGACAAAGACAGCGAAAACTTTATTATAACATCATCGATTTATTTTGCCTTCACAGTCACAATATTTGCATCTCGGATCACTGTACTACGTGGGTTTGCGTGAACAACAGCAGCCAAGGCTTGACTAGAAGGCTGATCAGAACTTAATTGTGGCATTTGTTGATGATCAACACCCGGGGAAGATTCACTAGGTTGAGAGGAACCAACCATATTCTTATTGTGTGGTGGCCAACTTGTGACACCATAACGCCTACAAATACGCTTTAGTGTAGATGGACTAACTGCAAAAGGAAGAATCTAGCTAAGAGACACAACTTTATGTTTGTTAGTGCAAAATGTCAAATATTTCTTTACAAAAAGAATGTCGAGTTGAAAATATTAAGTAAAATCACAAGCAATATTCTATTTTAATTTGTTAAGAGTGCAGATACCTCGGAGGTTATCGGCAGCAACCTTGATGCTCTTTTTTGAATTTTGTAGGATATCATCTAAAGGAATTTCAATTTTAACTCCAGTTCTATTGTACACTCTTTTTGGTCTCTTTGTTTTGCCTTTTTCCTGTGAACAAGTAACATCAATGTTGCTTCTTTCCGCACTTACAACATTGCTTTCATTGTTTAATGCATCCATTGGTTGTTGATTCGATAAATCCAGTTGTGTCATCTCTCCTCCACTTTGTAAGGGCTCCGGCCTAGGCAAAGATTTGCTAGTCTGGGACATTTGAACAGAATCAAGTTTCTCACCATTCTGCAAAGGAATTTCTTCAATATATAAATGTCCCCCAAGTTCTTCTCCAGAAGCAAGCTTAAAAGTTCGGAAATTTTTCTTCATTGTTTCCAATATTTTCCTCAATGCAGTCTGTTGATTACCATAGTAGTCCTTGTTGCTTGACGGCATAAAGCACTCTAACACGTAAATGTCATTTCCGGTGCAACTACTTTGCAAGCATATTGCGAAACAACAACCTAATTTATGATATCGTGCATAGTGTGCCAATGGGTAGTCAATTATGCTAAGTTGGGTTACATCCTTGCAAAATAATACATTAGGGGACGAGAATGCTCTCCCAACAACTCCTTGCCCCTTTCTTAAGTGAGATACACTGTTGGGGGGTTCAAAGTCCCAGTACTCCAATGCTTTGGAATTGGCAATCACATGGAAAATGTCACCCTTAACCAGAGCCCTGCATGCCCAGTCTACTCTGCACGGGGCCCATGCTTGAGCAAAATCTAAACCATGAACTTTACACACAACTTTCAACACCTTACTGATTTCATCTAAGGCTTCACTTTGTCTCACATTCTGCATGGTTGAAAAGTATTGTCACGTCCAAGTATTGTCTGAAGATATTCCTCATCATATTAATTTAAAAAATAAAATAAAATACCAAATTTGACATTACATTACAGTGTACCACTTACTCTTTTCTTGACATGGTCTGCATGTGATTTTGAAAATTCCAGACCTACCTCCTCCTGCAGGGGAATGGAAAGATGCGACTAAGGAATCTTGTACACTTTGAAATGTAGAATATTTGTTTGCCAAGAAAAGGAAGCATATAAGAAACTCTATAATGGAAAAACAATTCAGTCACAGCTAAATGAGCACAGAATGCAATAAAAAAATACAACTTGACGTTTTGCTTTGCTTTCTTTCTTTCTACCATAGAAGCTCAGGCTGATAAGATAAACAACAATCTTACAATTAGAAACTTGAAGAGAAGTAATGTACTTTCTAAAATCACAGGGACAATATGTATTTTAAACAAACTATATTTTTTGTAATTTACCCTATTAAAAACACACTTCTCGTCTATTTCTTTTTTTATTAGAAAGACATAAAAAAAAAATGCCAATTTGTGAGTTGGGGGACTAACCTTAAGCATACGCAGGCAATCAGAGTTGTTGTACAATAGAAATCCAATTGAGGGCCATGTTGAAACTATATCAAGTACACCAACACAGAAGTGGGTAGAAGGATCAAACAGTGGGATAACCCAAGATAGTTTAAGTTGGCAACGTAAAGCTTGGTCGCGCAATGGATACTCTTTGATAGAGTAATATTCTACATTGGGAGTGAATTCGCGAAATCCATGCTTGAACACACGGCCAGGAACCCCAAGTTGTTCATCAGAACTCTCTCTATCCATGTAAACTTTATAGTCCATAGAGATCATCCTATACCCACAAAGCCCTTTAACAGGTTCTTTAACATCATCATCAATTCTTCTAGGTAATGTACAAAGAGCGAAAGGTTGGTTTTGAGTTGTAAGATAAGGCCGGCCATCCATTGTCCTCGTGGGTGCCCAAAATTGAATTAGTGTTGGATTTTGAAACCATTCGAGTAAACACTTTCGAAGGACATCTTTGATCTTCTTTTTTAAATCCGAAATATCTGATTAATAATAACAAAATTGGAGGAGAGAAGTGAGATCTGAAAAGCAGGTAGTAGTAACTGTGTTGATTTAAAATTGAGTTATAAATAAAACTCCATTATTACAAATTAAATAAATAAAAGCCATATTCAAAGGAGGAGGAAGAAGAGAGAAAGAGAAGAGACATAATAAAAGTCCCACTCACTCGGAGGATGTTCGGATTGGTCGTCTTCTCGGCTCCAGAAAACCCATCCACAGAATTTATCGTAACAATCATCATCCACCACTGGACAGCGGTTGAGTTGAGTGTCCACAAATTGCTTGAAATCGTCAGGGAAATTTGCTGCTACGGTTCTTTCTTTATCGCTAATTGCTGCTCGTCTTCCTTCTTCATCGCTACTGGAATCAAAAGGGCTATTATATCCATCAGATTCGGCCATTTTCTGAGAATAACTTATCAGGGGACCTCGACCCACCGGGTTCATTAGCTGTATTTATAAATAAACCAAGGGGACCACTAAGGGCCTGTTTGGGACTTATTATTTTAGTTGTGTTTTTTTTTTTTTTTTTTTTTTTTTTTTTTTTTTTTTTGATTATTTTATGAGATAAAAAAAAATTATGTTTAAGATGATTTATAAATTTTTTTGAATAGTTGAATAGATGCTTATGAGAGAAACAAATAATTAATTAATGTGTTGAATGTCATTTTATCTTGTTGCCTATTTCAACTTTTTTTTATTATTATTTCTATTAGCTAATTTAATGAGAAAAAATGAAAAAGGCTAGTCTTGAAACATGGCTCGAATACAATTTTTTTTTTTAGAAAATAACTGTCCAGTGCCAAAAAAAAAATAATAACAATAATTTACGAATCAATGAAAGAACTTATACATTTTAATAATTAAAACACTCTTCTTTTTTATAATTTTATAAATTTTTTTTATTCCTGTCAACTGGACAGTCCCTTTCTTTTTTCTTTTTTCTTTTTTTTCGAGCCACTAAGAGCATCTCGAATGATTCTGCTATATCAGTTGCCAAAGTTAAAAAATAACAGGAATGGCAAAAATGAGTCTCAAACGGTCTGCTATTTCACTTGCCAAAGATGGCAGATGTCATATGTGTTCTCAAATTTGGTAAGTGAAATGGCAAATGGCAAATGCCAAGCTTGCCAGATCAGCAAAAATCAGACCGTTGGAGACCTAATTTTCAAAATCAAGCAAATTTCAGTTTCAAATATCAAAACATATATATATCAATGCAAATTTTTGTATACCAAATAATCAAAAAATTGTTCATGATAGATATAAAAAATTGAAGACAGATCAAATTAAAAAATTAAAAAATTCATATATATATATATATATATTGATGAAGGAAAAAATTAAAAAAACATATATATATATATATATGAGTATGTATATAGATGGAGATCGTACCATTATTCCGGAGAGTACATAGATCGGAGGTGAGGATTGAGAGGGAGACCGAGTGAAACCAAAGAGAGGGGGTTCCGATCTTGGAGGAGAAGGGGGAGATCGGGTTCCGATCATGGAGGAGATCATGGAGGAGAAGGGGTTCCGATCTTGGAGGAGAAGGGGAGATCGGGTTCGATCTTGTGCTCTGTTTGGTTTGGTTTGTGTTGTGTTTGATTTTGGCCATGGAGGAGAAAGAGTGAGAATGAGAGGGAGAGGAAGAGCCGTGGAGGAGAAGAGTGAGAAGTTCTAGATGCTTTGATCTGTCTTGATCAAAACATATATATCAATAGTGTAATAAAGAGCCGTTGGGCTCTGTTTGGTTTGTTTAACACACAAAAAAAAAATGAAATTATTTTTTACACAAAAAATTGAAATTGAAAATTTGAAAATTTGAAATTGAAATTGAAAAAAAAAACATATATAATATTATTTTTTCAATGTATAATGTTCACTAATTTGTTTATTATTTAATATTTTCAATAAAGTATAATGCAAAAAAATAAATATATTTTTTCAAATGAAGGCAATAAAAAGATAAAATACATTATATGATATTATATGAAAATAATTTTATTATAATAAAAATACATTATAATATAAATATATAATTTTTTTCAAGTTTTCCAATTTTTCATTTTTTTTTATTTTTTATATTTGTCTAGTTCCGAATAATATAAATATATAATTTTTTTAACAAACAGGTAAAAAATATCGCAAAAGACAAAAAAATAAATAAAAATAAAATCACAAAAAACCTGTATTCGAACAACACCTATAAAGTTGGAAGGAAAATTAGTTAAGATATGCCAAAAATAACAAATGATCATTAGAATATTATTGCTATAATTTGACAAAATAATATTATTTATTGTCAAATTATAACAATAACCACCCTAATATGGCAAACAATCATTAGATGCTCTAATATATTATAACTAGTGTATGCCCGTGCCTGAAGGCACAGTGCAATTAATAATGAGATTAAAATATAAATCAAAATAAAATTATTAAAACATAACGGTAAAATTTTCTTTGTTCGATCTTCTTTTTCAATGGTGGTGGACAGACACAGAGCGGAAGTGGCGATGTGAACCTTATTTCAACACCCATTTCAAAAACTTTTTCAAAATCATAAAAAATCAACACTCATTTTCCATTAAGGAATTAAATCCATTTCATAAATCAAACTAAAAATAAAAATACATTTCTAAAATAAAAACCAATTTCATGAAGATCAAATATTATTTCAGACCCAAATCAAATCAAACCAAACCAAATAACATAGGTTACATCTATAAAACAACAAAAACAAAATCATAGGTTCCAAATTAGTATAGATCATAGATTTGGATAGGAATTTTAAATAAATAAATAAAAATGGTAAGGGAAATGTCAATGAAATATAAGCTAAATTTTTTATCCATTTATCTCACCTTTCCTTTTTACAATGCAAGGGAAGGGAAGCCTCCATCTATTTACAGTGAGGTTACTTCTTTACAATTACCAATAAGTAACCAAACAAATGTGACATCACAACCCACAACTATAAGTGCCAAAAAATCACAAATAATTTCTATGAGCGTATAGAAAAACAAACCAAGCACTCTTGCTAGGGTAACTGCATTAAAAACCACCTCCCCCCTCCCTAAAAATAAATAAATAAATAAAAACAAAATACTACACACTAAACCAAGTACACTAATGAGCTACTAATAAGCATGCTAGAAAGAGGCAATGCAAAAACAAATTTTCAATGTCTTAGTCTAAAAAATTTTCAATTATCTCAAATTTTCTTGGTCTTTCCCATTATCTAATCTGATACATATCTTTCCCTTCATCTATGATTCCCATCAACAGGCAATAAATAGCAATTAATAACAATCACTCTGACCAAAAGATAAAATAAAATACAATCACTGTTTCAACCCTCCATAGTGAGTAACAATTTTTCAATACGAAAAACACAATCACTCTTGCAAGTAAAATCTATTATATCATCACAATTAGATAACAACGTTGCAGCAAACAAAGAAGTCAATGGATATAAAAAAAAAGGCACTAATCAACCACTAATCAAGAAAATTTAAAAAAAAAAAAGAAGATTGCCCAGTTCTTTTGGTTGAACCCGCATGGCCAGCAGGTTTTCCTAAAACAGAAGATTGCCATTGTTAAGGTGAAAAAGCAATCTGACTGCCAGAAAAGAAAAGGAAAATGCAAAATCCACAGAGACATAGCAAGTTGAATACCAGATATTCATATTGCAAGCAAACTACTCTAGAGTTGCTACATAAAAAGACCAATCAAACAAAGGGTTCCCATTGCAAGCAAGTTGTGGCCCTTTCTATTACCAACAAAAGTATTTGTCAAAGTTTTCATTTTTATGAATACCCAATTTCCCATATTAGAAAATCAAAAATCACAACCTGATTTTTGTTTATAAGTTTCATTGCTTCTGCATCCTAACTCCTCGTCAATCCTATCAAGCACCCTTGTCCGATAAGGTTTAGAAGGGACAACTTAACTATATTGTACTCATGTCTGCTACTTTTCAACAGCATTATCCCTGATTTTAAACAAAGTTTCAACATCACAGCTGGCAATGTTGTATCAATAGAGATCAAAGAGAATAATGGTTATAACTATTCTTGAACATGCACTTAATTCAATTATATCCAACTAAGCCTGATCCTAACTTCACATATACAGAACATTCATGATCCAACAATCACATAAACCAAACACTTGTCAGCCCACTTACATACTACACATTTTCAATTTATTTTATTTCCACAACACATAAAATGGAACACTTATAAGAATTCAATTCAGCATAATATTGAATTATAGAAATGCTCAATCAGAGCTATATCATTAGCAATTTCAATTCAATTATTTGAATGAAACATGTTTCACTGCACATTTTCCTCATAGGCTACTAAGAATATAAATTCAGAACAGTATCATCACTCCATTCAGAAATCTGATATACACATACCTTCAATAAGCGTCTGCTGCCTCGGCAACCCGACCTCAACGCCAATTTTAATTCAATAATGTACTAATTTTCCAATCAACGGTAAGAGATTTAATCACCTAAATTAATCTCCATCATAAAAAATTCTCTCTTATGTCTAAAATTGCCAAATCATTTCAAACATGTACAAATTGCAAATACCTACTTTCCTGTTCTCCCAAGCGATATAAATCAGAATTTTTGCGAATCCATCAGTTTCTCTATGGAATTCTAACTCCTCTCAATAATTTCTCAGATATCTTATAGATTATAAATTACTGTGATATCAGATCAACAAACTAAATGATTACTCACCTTCCTAAATTCAATTTTCCACCCATAAATCACAATACCGGCCCCTCATCAATTTAAAAATAAATAAACAAATAAAGAATTATGATTATGATTTTAGTCTATATGGGAAATTATGAAGTTTTGATATGGTGTTTAGTTTTTAATTCTAAATCCCAATAATTCTATCTAGGTTAATTCAATCTTGAATATATTGTTTGGGATTTTGAATATGCTTGGGATTTGATTTTGAATATGAGTTAATTCTATCTAGGATTTTAAATAATTCTACCGTGCCTTTAACAACAACCTGCAATCAGAAATTAAAGTTTAACTACTGCCTCAAAAAAGTAGGATAGGCTTATAAGGACACCACTGGAGCATAATGATAAGAACACAAAAAATGAGAGATACAAAATAGCATGGTCTTCAATCTTGAACAATAAATCAAATCTCAACCAAACTCAAAACAGTGCTCGTATACTAACTAAATTTACATTGCATTGGACACACTGATTATCATGAGTTCTAATATAACTTCTGATTATCATACCAGAACACTGCAAGACAGTTGCAGTGCCAATGAAACATGATTTCCTTGATGAAGAGCTACTGGTAAAATTTGTGCACCAAAAAGGTTCCAGAACAAAAATGTGGCTGCAGAGAGTGCCATTACTCCATAAGTGAAGTGCCCAGCCAC